TGATACCTTTAGAGAAGAATATTTACTAAGTTTTTGCTTCGGGCGATGAAGAAGACTTCGCCTCGGGGAACTTGTGCAACCGGCTCGGGGACAAGAGAGGCATGGCCCCGGTTTCCCGAGGGAAACCGGCTCGGGTTCGCGGAAAGAGGCAGCTCGGGGGTCTCGGCGCGAACCGGCTTGGTTTCTCGGAATGAACCGGCTCGGGCACTTGAAGAGAGCCAGCTCGGGTTTATAAGCTTGCTGACGGACCCGAGCAGACTACGGGTGTTCCCCGAGGCAACCAATGCAATCTGACCCAAGGTGAATGGCAGTCTGACCCGAGGTGAATGGCAGTCTGCACCGAGATGTCTTCAGAAGTTCCCTGAGGCGTTCGAAGTTCGGCTCGGTGCTATGGGATGAAATCCGACCCCAACACTCGACTGCATGCTTCAGAGGCTTCTCAGATCCGCACTCAACCAGACATTGAGAATAAGGAAGAGAAGAGGATGAAGCATTACATCATGACCGGAGCAAGAATCCACAAAGATCCCAACTTTACTCGAATGCTCATACTCGATCACAAGGGTCGAGTACTCTCTTAAACCGCTTTAAAACTTTGTTGTTTTGTGTTTTAGGGCTTCCTAGTATTTACTATAAATAGGTTGTTTCTCTTAATTTTCAGAACCAAGTCTTTTTCTAGAGAACAATTAGGGTTTTCTTCATCTTTGTAATCCAGATTTCTCTTAATCTATTGAGTATTTGCTTTTGATTTCTTCTACAAAGTTGTTCATCTTGTTGAGATCTTGCTAGTATGAAGTTTTTATGCATTTCTGGGTTTATGTTCATGTTCATGAGTTTTGAGTAGTGATTAGGGTTCTTGAGGATGGGTTAGGGTAGTTTAGAATCCTTAATCTGATAGGTGTTTGAGTTTGATTGGTAGAACCCTTCTGGATTAGTTGTTCTTCATGTTGATTGCTTTCTGATCAACTGGAATCTGAGCCCAGACATTTCCGCACCCAAAAGGTGTTCGATGAAATGTCTGAACCACTAATTCCAGAGATTTGTGGCTCTGTACCAAGGTATTGGTTACAGGGAGCGTTTTGGCTTTGACTTGTTGATTCGTAATGCCTGTTAGGTTAGCTCTCGTCAATGGTGATTGAGTCTGGGACTAGTTTAGCTTGAGGATCTCTGTTGCGGTAGCACTTTGATTTGGTTACTGAACTTGTTGTCTAGGGATAGTTTGTTGAGCATGTTAACCACCTGTTAGATTAAGGAGACTTCACTACTCAATTACCCCATCCTCGGAAATTTCTCTTCCAATGGATTTCTTTGTTTACATCGCTTTTGATTGCTTGATCTTGTTACTTGTTGCTTAGTTTTATCATTTCTAGCCTGTTTCATTTGAAGTACTCGACCACACCCAGTAGTTTGGTAGCAAACTGTGTAGTCGAGTACCCAGTTTACAGTTTCTGTTAAGTTACTCGACCTGATACTCGACCACACCCAGTGCTTGGCTTCAAGCTGTGTTGGTCGAGTATATTGCCTGTTATTGTTAGAATTTCTGTTTCTGCATAATCACTAGAACTGTTAACAACATCAAACCTGTTATTGCTTGGCTTGACTCTGTGATATCTGATTGCATCTTGATTGCTAGCATCACACCTATTTGGATTGACACCTTAAATACTACAATGACATGATAGTACTTTAAGGATAATTGATCTTAGTTAAAATCCTACTATCAATTTGGCGCCGTTGCCATTTGGGTGTTTGTTTGTTACATTTGAGATTTCAGACTTGCTTAGATCAAGTTCTATTTCAATTTTCACTTCAGTCACTAACTTTGTGTTTCTCTTGTTGTCTTCTTGATTCAGGTACAACTCTGTTGTATGCAAACTCGATCAAAAGACAATCAGAACCTCCTTTTCAACGACAACATCGACCGTTTAGGAAGAGAACTACGGGAAAGGAGAGACACAGTAGACCTTGAACACAACCATCCTTTCAGAATGGCTGATGAACAAGATGTCAACAATCTGCCTGCTAACATTGGTGCTGGAGATGCACCAAGCACTACAAGAAAACCTGCAATTTGGGACTCTTTGTTGTGACTATTTTTATAGTCGCAAAAAATCGCGACTACTTTGTGTCTGTTTTGCGACTGTTAAACAACTACAAACAAAACAGATGGAAACTAGTCGCTTATTAGCGACGGAAATAAGTAGTCGGACAAATGTCTCAATTAAGCCACTACTATCCGACCGTTTACCAATTCAATATTTTAGGTCGCAAAACGGTCGCACTTTGAGACCACTTAGCGACTTGTTATCTATAGAACTCTTTTTTTTTACAATTTGACTAAAGGTCACAAAACGGTCGCAAAATTGCAACATATTTACGACGAACAAAGATAATCGATCACATTTATCTGAGATTTAGCGACCACTTTGCTACATATTACCAACTCTCGATATTAAACATTCGAAATATCAGATTTGAGATTTGTGACCATAATCCGACATATTGTGTGACCATTGTACGACTGATGTTGTGACCCTTTTGCGTCTAGCACCTGAGATTAGCGACTATTTTGCGACGTTTGCGATGTTTGTTATATTTTAAGAAATTTTGCTAACTATTTTGTGACCCTTTTGCGTCTAGCACCTGAGATTAGCGACTATTTTGCTACAGATTACCAACGCTCGATATTTTCAATTCGAAATTTGTAAATTGAAGTTTGTTTACATGTTTTCTTATATGTTACTACTTTGATTTTATTGAACTTAGTAAAAAAAAACTCAACCAACCTCTTGAAATTCAATGTTTACAATCCAAACATTCAAAAGTTCTAAATCCATATGAACTCATCATGTTACTTTATGAACATGATATGGAATTTTGTAAAATTTATAAAATATGTTGAGAAAGCCAGGTTTGACCAACCTAACACTTGTACATGTATTCTATGCTACTAAAGTGAGTGTTTATGAGTGATTTCTATCAATAGAGTGAATCAAATCCATAGATTTTGAATTTTTTGTGTTGTGACATTTTATTGTCTGTCTCAACTTAGTCACAGTTTGCGACTAGTTTGTGACATTTTCGTGACTGTTCAAATATTGTGACTAAATTACGACAAGTTTTGTGACCATTTTCCGACGAATATTGCAACTGTTTTGCAACTTTTGTTAAATCTTATGAAATTTTCCCTAAGTATTTGGGCGCTTAATTTTCCCCCCAAATAATTGATGTTGCGATTGTTTTGCGACTAAAGAGCGACTCCTTTTCGTTAATTAGTAGGCAAAATACACACTCGACTTTTCACTTTTTTCCTTCTCTCTCGATCTTCTTTCTCTCTCGATCTAGGGTTTCAATCTCTCTCTCTCTCCCTCAATCGATTCCTTCTCTTCTTCTCTTTCGCTTCATTCTCATTCGAATCCCTAATCCGATTCTTTCTCTTTCAAATCCCTATTTCGTCTCTTTCTCTTTCGAATCCCTAATCCGGTTCTTTCTCTTTTGAATCCCTCTTTCGTTTCTTTCTAATGGCTCCTACCAAAGGCAAGTCAGCGAGAGGTCGCGGAGGCAAATCGACAAATAACCGTGGTGCCAGAGTCTACCATGGTCAGAATCCTAAACTCATCCCCAGTGGCGTCGGAACCTCTTCTCACTCGTCGAACCCAAGTTCGGCAACACAGTCTGTAAGTCGTCCTTCCCAATATCCGCCGGCGACACAAGTACCCTCGACTCCTGCTCTTCAAACATCACCTGCTGTCTCTCAACAAGCACCGTCGGGTGGGTCTCAACAAACAGCGCCGGGTGGCTCTCAACAAACACCACGGGCTGGCTCTCAACAACCACCGCCGGCTGGCTCTCAACAACCACCTCCTGCTCGTCGAAAACAACCTCTTGGGCGTCAACAATAGCCTTCTTCTTCTCGTCAACAGCAGCCTTCATCTTCTCGTCAACAGCAGCCGCCTCCTCGTCAACATCAGCCTTCTTCTTCTCGTCAACAGCAGCCTCCTCCGCGTCTACCACAGCCTCCTCCTCGTCAGGATCCAGAGGAGCAACAGGTCATACCATCAGAGCTAAACCTTAATGATGAAGACGATTATGAGGAAGAAGTAGACGAAGAGCCTGAAGAACAAAATGGAGATCAAAATGTCGACTACCAAGAAATGTTGGATCGTTTGCTAGTCCTTCCAGGCCGACAACATCTTCCACTTCTGTCTCAGAACCCGATCCCTGGAGTTGAGACTCTCTGGTAATCTCTTTCCTTTTCTCCTTGTGATTTTGTGATTGTTTTGTGAGCATATGTGTTTTTGATTGATCATCTGATTTTGTGATTGTTTGTGAGCATCTGTGTTTTTTTAAAAGCATTTGCAAATCATGTAGTCATGTCCTGTAGTAGAAAGCTTAGTGTTTGTTAAACATTTTGGTTTGTTTTCCGTGTTTGTTTTGAGAATCTATGTTATCTCTGTGTTGGACCAACTTATTGTTCATTGATAGACTCATGGTTCTTGTTCATTTACGACTAAAGCTTTGTTTGGTAATTCAACTTGAAGTTTAGAGACTTGTCATAGTTGATTCTGCTGTTAATCAAACATATTTCATTCTTGCTCAGTATCTGTTGGTTATTGCATCAAATAAATTCTGTGATTTCAAGAAATGAATAGAATTAGGAGTTATTTTTCACAGTGTCTTAGTGCATAACTAAAGTGAAATGTACTTTCGTTACAGGTTTAACCGGCACAAAGGGAAGCTGTCTAGAGTGATTGCTGGAATCTTCTGGAGGAAGTTTGATGGGCCTTAGGGCATATGCAACGCCAAACCAGTTGGTGTGATCTTAGTAATTTAAAATTAAGAAATAATGGGAATAGTGCGTTTAGTTCTTGGATTTAGTTCTTGCTTAAGACCTGTTCCTGGCCCTGTTCTTGGGTTTGGGTCTTATTTTATTTTTTATTTTTATTCTAAGCACACCATTAAGATGATCTTTCGATAATTATGGTCTTACTTCAGTTGGAAGGTTACTCCAATACCCATTCGAGAGAGATACTTCAGAAGTTTTGCGGTAATGTCATATATACCTTACATTCTGTTATTGTTTAATATATATGACTTAGTAACTTTGCTAACTTAAGTGCTTGTTATGTAGCGGAAGTATAATTGGGATGTCGGGATTACTGAGCTTGTTAGAGAAGGATTCTTGGTGATAGCCAAGAAACGGATGAAAGGGATTGTCAGTCAAGCAAAGCAGAGTGGTGTACAACCACCGTGGATCCGTGATACACTTTGGGCTGAGATGTGGGTGTATTGGAAGACTGAGGATGCTATTGAGAGGAGTGAGAATGCTTCACAGTGCAGAAACTCTGATCGTGGAGGTCTTGGAGTGCACAAACACTTAGCCGGTCAGAAATCTTTTGTGCAAGTTCATCAAGAAATGGTAAGAGTCCTCTTTCCATCCAAACAAATCATTTCTCTGATTTTCTAATATTGCTTCCATGATTTAAATCTGCTTGAGTTTAATTGTAGGAGGAAGAGCTCAAGCGTCCTGTATCACTTGGCGAAGTGTTTATGAAAACACATACAAGGGCTGATGGATCATTTGTGGATCAAAAAGCTAAAGAAGTTGTTGAGGCGTATGCGAAGGGCATTGAAGACAGGATGTCTGAATTGGACGAGGAGGGTCCTCAGAATTCTGCTAATTCCTCTGAACATTCCACTGACCGTATGCTCAGCATTGATGAAAAGAATGAGATCTTTCTTAAGGTAATTGATTTCGTTTTGTTGGACATCCTTCTTGTTCTTGTTCACTGATTCTTTGGATTTTGTTTTAGTGTACTCATAAAGATGACAAAGGTACCCCTTATGGTCTTGGATCGCTTGTGGAGACACTGAACAAAGGAAAAAGGAAAGAGAGTTATGCGAGCTCTTCTACAGCAACCATTGTGGAGCTTCAAGATCAGCTGCGGCGCAAAATATCTGAACACGAGGCTGAAAATGCAAAACGTGATGAGGAGCACCGCCAATCTCAATCTCGCTTGGAGAAGCTCCTCGTCTTCATGAAAGATAAGGATCCTGAGTTGGCAGCTTTTTTGTCTTCTGCTTCTACACAACCTCAACCACCCATCCAAGCAACTACAACAGCTGCAGGTACTCTACCAACTACAACAGCTGCAACTGCAGCCATCCCAGACGCAACAGGCACCCCAGAAGACACTTCTTCTAACCTATGAACTTGTTCTCTTAATTGTTGCTTTTGTAAGTTGGATGAAACCTGTTTTATTAGGATGCTAATATTTTGGTTAAAACTAGGATTATCTTGTTTAATTAGGATGGTTATTTGATTACTCGGTTGTTAATCTGATTTCTGTTTGATTACTGCTTTTCAATTCGAAATTGAATTAGGTTTATGATTGCAAAACAAATTGTTACTCGACAAACCACAAAGTTATGACCATTTTGTAACTAAACCAAATTACACTGGTGGCAGAATGGTTGCTAATACGAGACTAAATTGGGACTACTATTTTTTTTTCACCTTACAAATCTTAGTCACAAATCTGTCTCTAATCAAACTCAGTTGCATTTTAGTCGGGAATATGCAACAACATATACAAGTCACAAATTAGTCGCTTATTTACGACTATATAGTGCGGTAAGAAAGTAGTCGCAAATAAGTGACTATGTTGCGACTGTTTTATTTAGCGACCGTTTTTTAGCGACCCATTTAATTAGTCGGACAATAGTCGCAAACAAGTGATTTGCGACTGTTTTCCGACTATTATGGGAGTCGCAAATGGCTTGTTTTCTTGTAGTGAAGAAACCACCATCAGAGGCAAGGGATTGTGCCTCCTACTGTCCAAAACAACAACTTCGAGATTAAAAGTGGTCTCATCTCGATGGTTTAGGGAAACAAGTTCCATGGTCTGCCTATGGAAGACCCACTCGACCACTTAGACGAATTTGATAGGCTCTGCAGCCTAACAAAAATTAACGGAGTCAGTGAAGATGGATTCAATCTCTGGTTGTTCCCATTCTCCTTGGGTGACAAAGCACACATCTGGGAAAAGAATCTTCCACCTGGATCCATCACATCCTGGGATGACTGCAAGAAGGCCTTTCTTACAAAATTCTTCTCCAACGCAAGGACTGCACGGCTCAGGAATGAGATCTCTGGTTTTGCCCAAAAGAATGGAGAAAGCTTCTGTGAGGCCTGGGAGCGCTTCAAAAGTTACACCAACCAGTGTCCTCATCATGGTTTCAGTAAAGCCTCACTGCTCAGCACACTCTACAGAGGTGCTCTTCCACGGATTAGAATGCTTCTAGATACCGCGAGCAATGGAAATTTCCAAAAGAAGGATGTTGCTGAAGGCTAGGAATTGGTTGAGAACTTAGCTCAGTCAGATGGTAATTACAACGAGGACTGCGACAGGACCAATAGAGGAACAGTTGACTCAGATGATAAACACAAGAAAGAGATGAAGGCTCTTAATGAGAAATTGGATAAGATTCTCCTTGGCCAGCAGAAGCATGTGCACTTTCTAGTTGATGACGAGCAATATCAAGTCCAAGATGGGGAGGGGAACCAGTTAGAAGAGGTCAGCTACACAAACAATCAAGGTGGCTACAAAGGGTATAACAACTTCAAGACTAACAACCCCAACCTTTCTTACCGTAGCACCAACGTTGCTAATCCACAGGATCAAGTGTATCCTCCACAACAACAGCAGAACCAGAACAAACCTTTTGTTCCTTACAACCAAGGTTTTGTTCCGAAGCAACAATTTCAGGGGAATTACCAGCAGCAACCACCACCTGGGTTTGCACCTCAGCAACATCAAGGTCTTGCTGCTCCTGACTCTGATATGAAGCAAATGCTACAACAGCTTCTCCAAGGAGAAGCATCTGGCTCAATGGAGATTGCTAAGCAGATGGCTGAATTACACCATAAGCTGAAAACAACTCAAATATGCAACATGCATGCAAAACTATCCTAATCATGCAAAGTGATGACAAATGATGAAGAATGGTATGAAACAATGACGAAATGATGATAAAGTGATGCTAAATGGATGCTCAAAACAAGTAAAATATAGACATATCAGTTATCCACCAGAGAGTGGCAGAGAGTTATTGATAGTAGGATTTTAACTAAGATCAATTATCCTTAAAGTACTATCATGTCATTGCAGTATTTAAGGTGTCAATCCAAATGGGTGTGATGCTAGCAATCAAGATGCAATCAGATTTCACAGAGTCAAGCCAAGCAATAACAGGTTTTGATGTTGTTAACAGTTCCAGTGATCATGCAGAAAACAATAATTCTAACAGAAACAGATAACACACTCGATCACACAGCTTGATGCCAAGCACTGGATGTGGTCGAGTGCCAGGTCGAGTACCAAACAGAAACTGCAACAAATGTACTCGACTGCACAGTCCGTTTCCAAACCGCTGGGTGTGGTCGAGTACTTCAAGTGAAATAAGTAAAAATGCAAAAACTAAGGAACAAGTAACGAGATCAAGCAATCAATAGCGATGTGAACAAAGAAATCAATTGGAAGAGAAATTCCCGAGGATGGGGTAATCGAGTAGTGAAGTCTCCTTAATCTAACAGGTGGTTAACATGCTCAACAAACTATCCCTAGACAACAAGTTCAATAACCAAATCAAAGTGCTACCACAACAGAGATCCTCAAGCAAAGCTAGTCCCAGACTCAATCACCATTGACGAGAGCTAACCTAACAGGCATTACGAATCAACAAGTTAAAGCCAAAACGCTCCCTGTAACCAATACCTTGGTACAGAGCCACGAATCTCTAGAATTAGTGGTTCAGACATTTCATCGAACACCTTTTGGGTGCGGAAATGTCTGGGCTCAGATTCCAGTTGATCAGAAAGCAATCAGCATTAAGAACAACTAATCCAGAAGGGATCTACCAATCAAACTCAACCACCTAGCAGATCAAGGATTCTAAACTACCCTAACCCATCCTCAAGAACCCTAATTACTACTCAAAATTCATAACCAAGAACACAAACCCAGAAATGCATAAAAACTTCATATTAGCTAGATCTCAACAAGATGAACAACTTTGTAGAAGAAATCAAAAGCAAATACTCAATAGATTAAGAGAAATCTGGATTACAAATATGAAGAAAGCACTAATTGTTCTGCAGAATAAAACTTAGACAGAATATTATGAGAAACAACCTATTTATAGCAAATACTAGGAAACCCTAAATCAGAAGACGACAAAGTATTAAGGCGGTTTACGGAGACATTCGGCTTTGTGCAATCGAGTGAAGAGGTCGAGCAAAGCTGGCTCCTTTGCGGTTTCTTCATCTGGTCGTGATGCGATCGAGTGACTAGGTCGAGTATGCACTCGAGTCCCGCTTCATCTTCTTCTCTTCCTTATGCTCAGTGTCTGGTTGAGTTGGGATCTGAGAAGCCTCTGAAGCGTGCAGTCGAGTGCTTGGTCGAGTAAGTTGGTGGAGGATACTCGACTGCGTGCTCGAGTCGTGATCTGGAGTCGTGGTCTACTTGGTGAAGGAGCTGGTACTCGACCACAAGGTCGAGTGGTAGGTCGAGTTGGTGAAGGAGAGGGTACTCGACTTGGTGATCGACTTGGTGCTCGAGTTGGTGATCGACTTGGTGCTCGACTTGGTGCTCGACTTGGTCGTGGTCGAGTGCATTTGGAAGGTCATGATGATGGTGCTCGACCTCGTGGTCGAGCATACTGATGGGTTCTGGTCCATTTCTTCCAATTTGCTCACCAACAGCTCCAAATCACCTGAAAACAACTCAAATATGCAACATGCATGCAAAACTATCCTAATCATGCAAAGTGATGACAAATGATGAAGAATGGTATGAAACAATGACGAAATGATGATAAAGTGATGCTAAATGGATGCTCAAAACAAGTAAAATATAGACATATCAGTTATCCACCAGAGAGGGACCCACACCAGTCACTGAGGACAGTGCAAACCAAGATGGGGAGGATTCCAGTCTCAATAAAGATCAAGTTGACAAACTAAATGAAGTACTCGATGCTAGCAATCAAGATGCAATCAGATTTCACAGAGTCAAGCCAAGCAATAACAGGTTTTGATGTTGTTAAGGAGAAGGTCTTTGTTCCTCCTCCTTACAAGCCTCCACTCCCATTCCCTGGTCGACACAAGAAAGCGTTAGAAGATAAGTACAAAGCTATGTTTGCCAAAAACATAAAAGAAGTTGAAGCCAGGATACCTCTTGTTGATGCTCTCGCGCTTATCCCGGACTCCCACAAGTTCCTGAAAGACTTGATCCGGGAGAGAATTCAAGAGGTTCAGAGAACAACAGTTCTGAGCCATGAGTGCAGTGCCATCATACAGAAGAAGGTTGTCCCAGAAAAGCAAGGAGACCCTGGTTCATTTACTCTACCATGCTCCCTAGGTTCATTGACTTTCAATAAATGTCTTTGTGACCTAGGAGCATCAGTAAGTCTCATGTCACTCTCAGTAGCTAAGAGGTTGGGTTTCAACAAGTATAAATACTGCAATATCTCCTTGATCTTAGCTGATAGGTCTATTAGACTACCTCATGGGTTATTAGAAGATTTGCCTATCAAGATTGGAAATGTGGAGGTGCCTACAGACTTCGTAGTGCTAGACATGGATGAAGAACCAAAAGATCCCTTGATCTTAGGAAGGCCCTTCTTGGCTACAGATGGAGCAATCATAGATGTTAAGCAAGGGAAGATTGATCTTAATCTGGGGAAAGAATTTAAAATGAAGTTTGACATCAATGATGGTATGAAGAAGCCGACAATAGAAGGACAGACCTTCTTAGTTGAGGAAATGGATCGGCTAGCTGATGAACTGCTAGAGGAACTTGCTGAAGAAAATCACTTAAAAATTGTTTTGACCAAGAGTGGTAAAGCTGGGTATCTCCCTAGTGAGACTTTGAGTTCTGAGAAGTCATTGGACTCACATAAGGCAGCAGTTGGTTCAGAGGTCTACAAGGGTCTGATGGGGTCCGAAACAAAGGTTATGGGAGGACATGAAGTAAGTTCAACACATGCTCGACCAACTGATTCCACCAACAACTCGAAGAAGCCTCCAACTTACCTTGAGAGCTCATGCTCGACCGAACAACTCGAACAACAGCTCAAAGCAAGCACTTTGGCATCTGATGATTGGTTAGAGCTAAAGGAGAGGTCGAAATGGCAAGACAAAGCCATAAGG